GAGGTGAATCCTACAGCATTTCTTAACATCCGGAATGAACCGTTTAAACCTTAGTTACAAACGAATAAATCATACATTAGATGTATCCTACAGCATATCTTAACATCCGGAATGAACCGTCTAAACCTTCAGCAGCACACGGAATAAATCATACATTAGATGTATCATACAGCATATCTTAACATCCGGAATGAACCGTATAAACCCTCCGTAACAAATGGAATAAATCATACATTAGGTAAATCCTACAGCATATCTTAGCATCCGGAATGAACTGTCTAAATCTCCAGTAACACACGGAATAAATCAAGCATAAGGTAAATCCTACAGCATATCTTAGCATCCGGAATGAACTGTCTAAATCTTCAGTAACACATGGACTAAATCATACATAAGGTGAATCCCTCAGCATATCCTAATATGCGGAACGAACAGTCTAAACCTTCAGTAACACACGAATAAATCATACATAAGATGTATCCGACAGCATATCTTAACATCCGGAATGAACTGTCTAAACCTTCAGTAACACACGGAATAAATCAAGCATAAGGTGAATCCTTCAGCATACCTACAGCATATCTTAACATCCGGAATGAGCCGTCTAAACCTTCAGTAACACACGGAATCCGGAATGAACTGTCTAAATCTTCAGTAACACACGGAATAAACCAAGCATAAGGTAAATCCTACAGCATATCTTAGCATCCGGAATGAACTGTCTAAATCTTCAGTAACACATTGAATAAATCATACATAAGGTGAATCCTTCATCATATCCTAATATGCGGAATGAACCGTTTAAACCTTCATTAACACACGGAATAAATCATACATAAGATGTATCCGACAGCATATCTTAACATCCGGAATGAACTGTCTAAACCTTCAGTAGCACACGGAATAAATCATACATTAGGTAAATCCTACAGCATATCTTAGCATCCGGAATGAACTGTCTAAATCTTCAGTAACACATGGAATAAATCATACATAAGATGTATCCGACAGCATATCTTAACATCCGGAATGAACTGTCTAAACCTTCAGTAACACATGGAATAAATCATACATAAGATGTATCCGACAGCATATCTTAACATCCGGAATGAACTGTCTAAACCTTCAGTAGCACACGGAATAAATCATACATGAGGTGAATCAGACAGCATTTCTTAACATCCGGAATGAACCGTCTAAACCTTCAGTAACACACGGAATCCGGAATGAACTGTCTAAATCTTCAGTAACACATGGAAAAAATCATACATAAGGTGAATCCTTCGGCATATCCTAATATGCGGAATGAACCGTCTAAACCTTCAGTAACACACGGAATCCGGAATGAACTGTCTAAATCTTCAGTAACACATGGTATAAATCATACATAAGGTGAATCCTTCGGCATATCCTAATATGCGGAATGAACCGTCTAAACCTTCAGTAACACACGGAATCCGGAATGAACTGTCTAAATCTTCAGTAACACATGGAGTAAATCATACATAAGGTGAATCCTACAGCATATCTTAACATCCGAACTGAACCGTCTAAACCTTCAATAACAAACGGAATAAATCATACATTAGGCAAATCCTACAGCATATCTTAACATCCGGAATGAACTGTCTAAACCTTCAGTAACACACGGAATCCGGAATGAACTGTCTAAATCTTCAGTAACACGCGGAATAAATCAAGCATAAGGTAAATCCTACAGCATATCTTAGCATCCGGAATGAACTGTCTAAATCTTCAGTAACACATGGAAAAAATCATACATAAGGTGAATCCTTAAGCATATCCTAATATGCGGAATGAACCGTCTAAACCTTCAGTAACACACGGAATCCGGAATGAACTGTCTAAATCTTCAGTAACACATGGAAAAAATCATACATAAGGTGAATCCTTCTGCATATCCTAATATGCGGAATGAACCGTTTAAACCTTCATTAACACACGGAATAAATCATACATAAGATGTATCCGACAGCATATCTTAACATCCGGAATGAACTGTCTAAACCTTCAGTAACACACGAATAAATCATACATAAGATGTATCCGACAGCATATCTTAACATCCGGAATGAACTGTCTAAATCTTCAGTAACACGCGGAATAAATCAAGCATAAGGTAAAGCCTACAGCATATCTTAACATCCGGAATGAACTGTCTAAACCTTCAGTAACACACGGAATCCGGAATGAACTGTCTAAATCTTCAGTAACACATGGAAAAAATCATACATAAGGTGAATCCTTCAGTATATCCTAATATGCGGCATGAACAGTCTAAACCTTCAGTATCACACGGAATAAATCATACATAAGATGTATCCGACAGCATATCTTAACATCCGGAACGAACAGTCTAAACCTTCAGTAACACACGGAATCCGGAATGAACTGTCTAAATCTTCAGTAACACATGGAAAAAATCATACATAAGGTGAATCCTTCATCATATCCTAATATGCGGAATGAACCGTCTAAACCTTCAGTAGCACACGGAATAAATCATACAAGAGGTGAATCCTACAGCATTTCTTAACATCCGGAATGAACCGTATAAACCCTCCGTAACAAATGGAATAAATCATACATTAGGTAAATCCTACAGCATATCTTAGCATCCGGAATGAACTGTCTAAATCTTCAGTAACACATGGAATAAATCATACATAAGGTGAATCCTTCAGCATATCCTAATATGCGGAATGAACAGTCTAAACCTTCAGTAACACACGGAATAAATCATACATTAGGTAAATCCTACAGCATATCTTAACATCCGGAATGAACTGTCTAAATCTTCAGTAACACACGGAATAAATCAAGCATAAGGTAAATCCTACAGCATATCTTAGCATCCGGAATGAACTGTCTAAATCTTCAGTAACACATGGAATAAATCATACATAAGATGTATCCTACAGCATATCTTAACATCCGGAATGAACTGTCTAAATCTTCAGTAACACACGGAATAAATCAAGCATAAGGTAAAGCCTACAGCATATCTTAACATCCGGAATGAACTGTCTAAACCGTCAGTAACACACGGAATAAATCATACATAAGATGTATCCTACAGCATATCTTAACATCCGGAATGAACTGTCTAAATCTTCAGTAACACACGGAATAAATCAAGCATAAGGTAAATCCTACAGCATATCTTAGCATCCGGAATGAACTGTCTAAATCTTCAGTAACACACGGAATAAATCAAGCATAAGGTAAATCCTACAGCATATCTTAGCATCCGGAATGAACTGTCTAAATCTTCAGTAACACACGGAATAAATCAAGCATAAGGTAAAGCCTACAGCATATCTTAACATCCGGAATGAACTGTCTAAATCTTCAGTAACACACGGAATAAATCAAGCATAAGGTAAATCCTACAGCATATCTTAACATCCGGAATGAACTGTCTAAACCGTCAGTAACACACGGAATAAATCATACATAAGATGTATCCTACAGCATATCTTAACATTCGGAATGAACCGTTTAAACCTTCAGTAACACACGGAATAAATCATACATAAGATGTATCCTACAGCATATCTTAACATTCGGAATGAACCGTTTAAACCTTCAGTAACACACGGAATAAATCATACATAAGGTGAATCCGACAACATATCTTAACATCCGGAATGAACCGTCTTGACCTTCAGTAACACAAGGACTAAGTCATACATTAGATGTATCCTACAGCATATCTTAACATACGGAATGAACCGTTTAAACCTTCAGTAACACATGGAATAAATCATACATAAGATGTATCCTACAGCATATCTTAACATCCGGAATGAACCGTCTTGACCTTCAGTAACACACGGAATAAGTCATACATAAGGTGAATCCGACAGCATATCTTAACATCCGGAATGAACAGTCTAAACCTTCAGTAACACACGGAAAAAAATCATACATAAGCTGAATCCTAGGGCATATCTTAACATCCGGATTGAACCGTCATTACCTTAAGTAACCCACGGAATAAATCATACATAAGATATATCCGACAGCATATCTTAACATCCGGAATGAACCGTTTAAGCCTTCAGTAACACACGGAATAAATCATATATTAGGTGAATTTTACAGCATACCTTAACATCCCAAAGGAACCGTCTAAAACTTCGTTAAACACGGAATAAATCATGCAGAGGATGTGTCCTACAGCATATCTTAACATTTATTAAGAAAACGTCTGACTTGTTTACTTATTTAATAGTACCGATATATACAATTTACTATCTTGTCGTTTATAACTTACATATACCTTTTTTTCATTTCCAGTGTTGAGCGGGCAAGGCGGAGCTGGGCATGGTCTATTCGATCCTAACAGTTTTTCCTCCGTGAGTGGAATGATGAATAACCTAGGACCATCCATAACTGAACACTTGGATTTTCCCACATCCAACGCGCACACAAACGCCCAAGATTGGGATCGTTCGTCAGGAACACACAGTCAAGCGCGTCGTAATGGTGAAAATTCAGTACACGACCCACATCAGGGACATGCTCATGGTCCAGCCCATCAAGAGATAGATCACTCGAATCATGAACACGTAGGGGGAGCAATGGCGATATCTAATTTTGTTTCCGTCGAAGCGAACCCTCCGTCTGGACAAACTCCAACACGTGAAGAGGCTCTCGCATTGAGGCAACAACAACTTTGGGATCTCAGGAACGGTGTTGCTAGTACTGCTAGTCAGACTGGCCAACAACCTACTGATACCCACCACGAACATGCTCACACTGGAGATCTAACCTCTGCTAATCAGCAACCAAGGGGGCACACAGATCACTCTCACATAGGATCGCCTACAGACACGTCCCAGTTCGTTACCGTCGGTTCACAACATCAATCGGACCCAATGCCGAATCCATCAGATCCTTCTAACCCGAGTCTAACACGTGCAGAAAAGCGTGAAAGACATCGGCAAAGACGTTTGAACCGCTTGAATGGTGCGTCTGAACCTGTTAATGTAGGATCCGGACAAGAAGACCAACATTTGACGCGTCAAGAGCGGAACCGACAGCGACGACTTAAGCGGAGATGGGAGAAACAGGAGAGACGTCGATTGCAAAGATTAGGACAAGGTTCGGCTGATCCCACCGACGCACACAGAATCGGAGCCGTAAATACTCCAGATCAGCATGATAGAAACAACCAACGCTTGAACCGACGAGGTAGAAAAAGGTGGAATAGGAATAATAGAGACCCAACCGCAAACACTGTCGGTCCAGTCGACCAATCTGTTGCAGTATCAGAGGGGACTCACTTGGCAGATACTGCAGCTTCCTCTTTCATATTACAACAAGAACAGACGCGATTGTCGGCATCAGCTCTTGAGTGGCTTGAAAGAGAAAAAGCTCGTTTGCTAGCTGTAGAGAGGGCAAAACTAGCAGAAAAGCAAGCTAAAGAATTGGCCACAAAAATAGCAGCAGAAAAAGCAGCAGAAGTACAAAGAGCCAGGGAAAAAGAAAGCTTAAGGCAAAAACAGGAACAAGAAAGATTAGCTGCAGAAATGAGAGCAAAAATTCTGGCTGCAGAACAAGCAGCTGAGAAAGCTCGCCGTTTACAGAAACAGATAGCTGAAGAGAAAGAAAGACAACGTCAAGAACAGGAAAGACTTCGAGCACAGCGTCTAGCAGAAGACAGAGCACGTACAGAGGCTAAACAGAGAGCAAGAGAATTAGCAATGAGGCAAGAAGCAGAAAGACAACGTCAGGAACAGGAAAGACTTCGAGCACAGCGTCTAGCAGAAGACAGAGCACGTAAAGAGGCTGAACAGAGAGCTAGAGAGAAGGCGATAGAGCGAGCCCGGCTAGCAGAACTCCAACGAATGACAACGACAGTAGCCCCAGTCCCTGTAGTCCACGTTCGGCGCAGTCGGCGGCGACGACGCAGGTTATTTAGAGGGATTAAAAGATTATTCGGGAAAAAATGATTGAATATTTAGGAATATGAAATATAAACACAGTTTATATGTCAACAACACATATGATATATCCAATAGGGTTACCATATGTATAACAAGATATTGAAATTACAACAAACTGATAAGGAGAAGACGAGGATGCCGTTCTCTGAACTGTTCGACAGTATAAATGTACAATGCACATCGTTTGTGACGCTTTGTCACAATATTGACCAATATAGTTCTAACATATTAACCAACATAAGATGGCAGCCTTTCTTCCTATATCCTCGTTGGTTGAATCATAATCTCATGGAGTTTGGAGCGATGTTGACTCGATTTAACCATTTTCAGAAACGACAAGTCAATATTCTCTCTCGGACGTCACACCAATTGTAAGGTCACAATGCTCTGTGCTAAATGCAGTACTTTTCGCTTGATTTATATAAGTTCCAGTATGTTTAATCAAGAATACCGCACTGTTTCATGTCTAATACAATAGTAAAGTATTTTTATTTCAGTGAATATGTGGTTATATTGACTTGTAAAGTGATGTTAACCTCTACTTTGTCTCGGTCAATATATCTTTCAAATGTTCATATATCAACATATTCACTTCAACACACGTCCATAATAGATACTTTGACGTACATTTCGCTATTCACGTAGAGGGAAGTTCTTCTATAACCTTAGAGACTTCCGCACAGAAGCAAAATCGAGTTGTTTAATATGATCTAATTAAAATATGTTCGATAAGAATTATTGTTTATTAAAATATTCACTAGATATATCAAGAAAGGGAGCATCAATTCAATTCAATATCATCAGTATTATTACAGGTAAAGTTAATGGAAAACCAAATTCAAGTATTAAATCTAAACATCACATCAAAAAGGAAAAATGCCTAAAAAGGCTTTTAACAAATTTACACAACTTATATATATATACAGTAAAGCCGAATACGTACAAGGCTCATATTGAAATTTTGATAATGCATTATTGGTATAACCAAGCAGTGACGCTATCAGTGAAGCAGAGAGTCAACAAGGCCAATGAGGGAAAAGCACTACATAGGAGGGTGTACTAATAAATGACATTTTACGTAAACGACATCTTCGCTAGACAAGGGTTACGATCGGGTACGATCTGTTTGAGAAAGAAAAGTACCGGAGCGTAATCCTTGGCTAGCGAAGATGCATACACAAGTGCAACGTTGGAAAATAGGTTATTTTGAAAATGACGGCGAGTACAGAATAATTACGCTATGATTAGTTGTATTGGTATCCATGACAGCAGCGGATTGCAAACACTCTGATATTTATCAAGCAACAGTAATAAAATTCAATAATAATAATAATATACAGCATTTATATAGCGCCCTATCTAATTTGTAAAATTACTCTAAGGCGCTTTACAACATATGGATAATAGTAATGGTTATAATTGTGAAAACAAACAACAAAGACTTGCAATCACTTTCATACATTTAACAAGCAATGTGCACATAATTGAACAAATAAAGGGGGGGTATTTACATGACGTCTTTGCAAAGATTCTAAAATGCAAACGTGAAGAGGTGAGCTTTTATGTCCCTCTTGAACTTGGCCAGGGTAATTGACTTCCTAATAGCAGATGGTAAGCTATTCCACAATGTAGCCGAAACCCTCCTAAAGCATCTGTTTCCGTAGGTCACAGTACGAGATTTTGGGACACACAACACAGATTCTGACTCCGATCGCAGTGATCTTGACGGCTGATACAGGGTAACAAGTTCCTGTAGGTACTGAGGAGCTGTTCCATTCAGTGCCTTGTATGTGTATACCAGAATTTTGTACTGCGACCTGTATCGTACAGGTAACCAGTGCAATGAATAAAGCGCAGGTGTGATGTGCTCTCTCTTTCGAGTACGAGTAACTAGCCGTGCTGCAGTGTTCTGGACACTCTGCAGACGACTAGTTAGTTTGTCAGATATACCACAGAGGAGGAATTTGTAGAAAATTACAAGCTTACTAATGTAAATAAGATGTTAGGATAACAGATTGTTGGTAAACAAGTGCTATATGACATGAGCCTCGATAGTCCAGTGGTAACCCTTACGTTCCCTACACACCTGGGATATGTCATGGCAAATTTGAAGGCACGCGACTAGCTAATCAATTGGTTTTAAGTATAAACATTTGACAATCTGGCTGTTACCTGTCCTTTAAAGATTACAAGAAGTGTGACACCTGACTCCAAAGCCGGTCAATTTTACCGTAACGCTACCGTGCGATTGTTTTAAGGTACAGTAAAGCATCATGTGGCGCGTTCAGAGATGTATTCGAGGGGTGCGGAGAACACAAGTTAGCGTTACTCCAGAAATTATCAGGATGATAATACGCCCAGGTTAACTTTTTGTATTGTTGGGTTACATGGCGATTGCTTATGACACCCGTAAGCATGCGGCCGCTAGATCAACGGTCAAAATGAAGCTGACAGACCTTGGAGGCATTTACCAGTTATAACTGTTTTAACATAATATCCGAAGATTGCGGACTTATTGTCAATGTGTTATTATTAATCTTGAAGTTTACGATTCACCGCGAACTTGGGTTGTTTTATTGGGTTAAGTAAAACTTAATTTTAGTAATATTCTAGAAGATGAAACTCTCGGCAGTGATAAATTAGAATCAGTGTCAGGAATACTGTACTCCAGAACTTGACATATACCGATGAACTAAAACAGGTTATTTTTAACATCAACTCTTGGATAAGTACATCCATACGTCTGTAGCCTGTATATGTAAATATTCAAGAATATTGTTAAATGAATACTTTACACGATTTTAAATAAACGTTATTATAGTATCTTTGTGTGTACTCCGGATACTGTTACTTGGATGGTAATAGCACCAGATTAAAACCCGTGGGTTAAAGTATATACAACGATATTCTATCGTTGTATATATTAGTCCATACAATATCTTTACCTAAACTGTTACCTACAATGTACCTCAGCATAGTAAAATCCTTAGCATCATAGTCCAATGAGAATCTGACCCGAAAGAGTGTCATACCTAGGTCCACAGACATTCTGTCTCCAGTATTGTAGTTTAGAGACAATATTAATCCTCAACTCCCATTACTGTATAATTTATCTTAGTCCATACAAAATCTTACCCCAAAGCGTATCATACTTCAGTCCAGAGAGGTTCTGTCCGAAGTATTGAGTACATCACTGTGGAACGAATCCTTAACTCCCATTACTGTATATCTTAATCCATACAGAATCTTTACCCCAAGGCGTTACATACTTCAGTCCAGAGAGGTTCTGTCCGAACTATTGAGTACATCAGTCTAGAGAGAATCCTTTACTCCGATTACTGTATATCTTAGTCCATACAGAATCTTTACCCCA